AGGGGGAGGGGGAGGGAGAGGGGGAGGAGGGTGATGATGCCTGGCTGCAGAAGGAGCTGGGGAATGTGCAGGGCCCCGGCAGGGTGGTTCCCAGCACAGCTGCCCCTCCATGAATCTGGTGGGCACCCAGGCCATGCTTGCTTCTCACTTAATCACTATGCGTGGGGCTCCCTGGTGGGGATGAGATGCTTCATGCCTCTCTGTGCAAGGCTCTGCTGTTCCTTTTCTGGGATCAGTCTGCACTACCAGCACCATCACAACTCTAGGAACATTCTATCCAGTGCAGTTCTGCCATGCTTAGCAGCATAAGGGGTGTTAAGCTTCTCACTTATACATGAAGGGCAAGTTCTAGCCAAGTATCCTGCTAGGCTTAAAGAATAGAAGTCCTGTCTAGGATGCTCCTTGAGTCTTAGTATTTATTAGTGCAGGAAGTGCACACTAATAAATATGAACCCACCACCTTGCACGGGTCACTCCCATGCAGTGGGAGAAGCTGGAATCACTCCCAGAGGGAGGGGCCACCAAATAATAACACATTCCTCTTGGCCCAGGGATGTGCCTACTCATTGAGAACACCCATGGGCTACTTCAAAAGGCCTTGACGTAACCCACTTTATTTAAAAAAGAGTGGAAAACATGCATTTGGCTGATGTGTGACAATTCCCTCTGCTCTTGAGGGGGAGAAACACACTGTCTGTCCAGAGAGCTCTGCTAATAGCAACATTTAAGAGGAAGGTATTCCCAAAGTGAGCCCAATGTTAATTATTATCTGAAATTCAAATGGTTTATAGACAAAATTATAAACAGTATTTTATGCTTTAACTAATGCAATATTACATTCACCCAATCAAGAATGAGTGCCCTTTGAGATTCTTGGATACTAGGAGATGATTTTGAATTTTTAAATATCAAATATCAGTCTTTTTAGATCAAGTTTACTGGGCTCTGAATGTTGATCAGTTGGCCCTGATTTTTACACAATTCCAGGATCAGTGACTTCCTTCTGAGCCTTTGGGTCTGATGTTCTGTTTTCATGATATTGGAAAGAGGATATTTCTCAGAATTCTGTTGTGATTTTTCTGTTAATTCTGCTTCTGAGTAGTTCATTTCTTTGTTTATGACTTTTACATAAAATGGCCTTTGGAGAAAGATGAAGATCAGACAACTCACCTTGAAAAATCAAAATCAAGATTATTATTTTATTTAGCTATTTGTTTTTAGAGATGGGGTCTTGCTATGTTGCCCAGGCTGGACTCGAACTACTGAGCCCAAGTGATCCTCCTGCCTCAGTCTCCTGAGTATCTAGGACTACAGTTGCACCAGACAAGATCATTACTTTATAGCTGGACCTTTACCTTCTGGCCACCAAAGGATGTGGATTTTAGGAAAACTAGATTTTGCAGTGTTCCCTATTGAAACAGCAGTGAGGCCATTCTGGGTGGCCTCTGGTCTGCTGTTGTTTGTTTGCCTCTGTCTTGCTTCCCTATTGTCTGTCATTGGAAGAAGATCCCAGTCAGAACTTGTGTTGCTTCACATGGATGCTATTTTAATGATAAATGGTAAAAGACAAGTCCTAAGTTTCCATGGTGGCCCCGAATAACCAGGTTCTTGTGTGAGCTGCTGCATTTCTTATGTATATTGTGAGACACAGTCCAGACCATGCAGCGTGAACCCTGATATTCTAGGAAATCTCCGCATGCATCCTGGCAGTTTAGGACTCCCTATGCTGCATCCTGCATCTTCAATCTTAACATCACTGTTTTTTTAAACACAGAATTTTCTTTTTTGATTTTCCAGTGATTTGCAACATTACTTTCTTAATATAGTAGTTTAATCCCTTACCATAAAATATTTCAAAATTTTAGAACTGACACCAGTGAGAACATGTCATGGTACTGAATCAGGCATCATAATGATTTTGCCTGTCATTGCATTTGGCAGGAAGTCAGACAAGTGCCAGTGATGGTTTCTTGTCTGATTTTGCATTTCTCTGGCAAAATGTCCCCTCTGAAGAGTTGACTATTGGGCAGTTACTAGCTCATGGCTCACCCACTTCTGGAACCTACCCCATGAGCAAGAATTAAAACCAACTCACACCCTCCAAGCTCCAGAAGCCTGCCAGTGTTTCCATCTTGGCTGAATGACTTCTGGATTGAAACTCAATTTGACTTTGGCAGTCATCTAATGAGAACTCAAAAGTCATTCTTGGTTCAGCTACAGCCAAAGAACTTGCAGAACATTCTCTGATGAGATCTTCAAGTACAGCTGCGAGAAGGTAAGAACACCCAAAAAGCACCTGGATCCTGACACGGGATTACCTGGTTTTAAGCTCTGTTTGCATCTATGGGCACTCACAGGGATGGTTGCAGCCAGGCTGATAGGCATGAGATGAAGGGCACAGAGAGGAATGCAAATCAGCATTTATTACCGGAACTCAGTAACTCTATAGTGGGATATTATCTGACTCATCAACGATCTTCAGCCCTGTTACACTTTCAAAAATATTTTTATTTCAGAGTTAGAATAACGGATGTTAAGGTATGTGGGGAAGGAAGGTGGTAGCCTCATCTTTGCAGCCAACTAGCGGTATCTCATTCTCAGCCTCATCTTTGCAGCCAACTAGCAATATCTCATTCCCAGCCCTGTCTCCTGCCTCTGTTAAAAGAGGTGGGAAAAGTGAGTAGTTTTCAAGGTCGTTTAAGCTCTGCTATTCTCTGGAGTGGTTGGTCAACTGACCTTTCCCTGGTGGGAGAGTCAGAAACTCCTGTGCCAGCCTTAGCATAAATGCTGTTATTTCAGGGTGACTTACCTAGTTCTTACTGTGCTTATATAATACCAGTAAGCATCCATGGAAAACATCTTTAAAAGAGATCATTAAACACACTTAACATCTGTGCCTAATTAATGCTGTTGGTATCTAAACAGAATGTCTGTGATTCGAATGTGTTTTGCCTGCACCACCAGTTCCTGGTTTGTCCCCTCTCGGAGGTGAGCAGTGTGGCAGCGCAGCATGTGCAGACTCTGCTGGAATTGGCTTAACTCCGTGTGCGCACATGAGTGTCAGCCCGAGCGTCACTGCATGTGCCCACACTGCTGCCCTCTGTGTTGCTCTGATGGCTCTAATGGGTCACAGCCGCTCAGCACGTGTTCTTCAGCTGCCACGCAGAGGGGAAGGGCGGAAGTTGGAGGTATAGATTCTTGGGTCCCTAAGGTCCCTTTTTCAGCTCTGTTGCCGCAGATGCTCTGGTACCGAGCCCCTGTCCCAGGTGGAGGGGGCCCTTCCCCTGAGGATTCCTGAACTGTTTCTGAACAGACCTCATCTTAGTACCCATGACGGATAGGGGCCTCTGGCATTTAATTTGGCCCTTAATGTAGAACCTGGTCCTCTCATATCCTCTTACTGTAGCCAGCATTATCTGTTGACTCACATAGTACTTTTTTTTATAGGTTACATTTATGACATAGATACACAGTCTATAATTCTAAATAGCTGCGTCTGCTTCCTTGTTCCCTAACCTGCATCTTTACAGATTTGAACAGTGTGGACATAAGCTTCTCTTAGGCCTTCAGGATTTTTAGGTTGAAATTATGAAAGAAAAAAAGTTTTTTGGCCTTGACAGTAGAGGGAAGCACAAGCCTCTCTGTAAATTCTGGAGGGGCCTGTGGTGTTCATCATGGGCATCTCTGCTTCACCACACAGTTCTTTGTTGGAGAAGTTCTGGTGGAAGGAGCCTAGTACAGGCACTTGTAGTCTGACATTTTTTTTTTATGTCTGAAAACCTTTGGCTTCCAAAAAATTGGAACGGTAGGAATTAAAACCCATTGACCTATCCTGGACATTAGCTTGTCCATGTGGGACAGTGTAAGCTGGAAATTCTTGCGTTTGTGAACTAAGACGGTGTTGCCTTAGGTAACTCCTTTACAGCCTCTCCCTCCCCGTTTCCATGTTCACAGCTCCCTGGGCTCTGTCAGCTAGCAGAGCATTTGGTGGAAGAAAGACAGCCCAGCTTTTCCCATGATTGGGAGCCACAGCCATCTCCATATGAAAGGGGGAATGTGCAGAAGAGAAATTGCCTCTTTGTAAAGAGCCCAGTTGTCTCCTTGTGACATTCACTGTTTCTCGGAATCATTGCCATTGAGTCTCTGCTTTTTGTCTGCATTTTGGAATCAGCTCGCTGTGTGATCAAAGATGATCCTTCACTCTTTTTTGTTTTTCTCAGAAGCTTCAGCAGTCTTTTATTTGGAGAATAAAATGAAGTTGTCCTGAAAAAACAAAGTACAAGTCTCATGAAGAAGAGTTATTTGCAGCTGGAATGTTGAGAGGGCACAGTGGCAGAGCAGATCTGAGCAATGTCTTATTTCGAAGAAGTCAGAAAGTTTGGCTTCCTTCTGTGGGGTCTTGATTGTGCCTCTTCACACGGGATCTAACTTCATTACCTTATCTGAAACTAAGTGCCACTAAGCTTTGGGTTGATTTCCAGAATCTTGCTGGGCTAAACACAAGTAGATGTTTCATTGATTGTTGGAAATAGGCCCCCAAAATCTGACCATAAACTGGCCCCCAAACTGGCCATAAACAAAATGTCTGCAGCACTGTGACATGTTCATGATGGCCATGACATCCACAATGAAGGTTGTGGGTTTACTGGAATGAGGGCAAGGAACACCTGGCCCACTTCTACCTAGGGCGGAAAACTGCTTAAAGGCGGTTTTTTTTTTTTTTTTTTTTACATTTTATATCTATTTATTCTTTTTTTTTTATTATTATACTTTAAGTTCTAGGGTACATGTGCATAATGTGCAGGTTTGTTACATATGTATACTTGTGCCATGTTGGTGTGC